TTTATTTAGTAAATTTTCTGCAAAATTTGCTTATTTTAGGTAAATTTTCTGAAAAGTTTGCTTTATTTTATTCTGCAAAATTTGCCTTTTTAGTAACTTTTTTATAAAATTTGTTTTGTTTTACAAATTTTCCTCAAAGGTTGCAATAGTTAATACATTTTCTGCAAAGTTTGCATACTTTAGAAGATTTTCTGCAAAATTTGCTTCTTTTATGTAAATTTTCTGCATAGTTTGCTTGATATAGAAAATTTTGTGTGAAATTTGCATTTTTTTAACAAATTTTCTGCAAAGGTTGCAATAAATAATACATTTTCTGCAAAGTTTGCATTCTGGAGAAGATTTTCTGCAAAGTTTGCTTTATTTATTAAATTGTCTGCAAAGTTTGCTTTTTTCTTAATAAATTTTCTGCAAAATTTGCCTTATTTTAGTAAATTTTATGCAAAATTTGCTTTCGTAAATAAATTTCCAGCAAATTTTGCTTCTTTTAGGTAAATTATCTGTAAAATTTTCTTCTTTTAGTCAATTTTTTTTGCAAAATTTTGTGCAAACATTGCATTCTTTAGTAAATTTTGAGCAAAACTTGCATGAGCAAAGGTTGCAATAATTAATACATTTTCTGCAAAGTTTGCATTCTTTAGAAGATTTTCTGCAAAATTTGCTTATTTTAGGTAAATTTTCTGAAAAGTTTGCTGTCTATAGTAAGTTTTGTGCAAAGTTTGCTTTATTTTATTCTGCAAAATTTGCCTTTTTAGTAACTTTTTTGTAAAATTTTTTTTTGTTTTACAAATTTTCTGCAAAGGTTGCAATAGTTAATACATTTTCTGCAAAGTTTGCATTCTTTAGAAGATTTTCTGTAAAATTTGCTTATTTTAGGTAAATTTTCTGCAAAATTTGCTTTCGTAAATAAATTTCCTGCAATGTTTGCTTCTTTTAGGTACATTTTCTGTAAAATTTTCTTCTTTTAATAATGTTTTTGCAAAACTTTGTGCAAACATTGCATTCTTTAGTAAATGTAGTGCAAAATTAGCTTTCTTTAGTAAATTTTGTGCAAAATTTGCATTTTTCACTAAAGTTTGTGCAAAAAATTGCATTCTTTAGTAAATTTTGTGCAAAACTTGCGTTCTTTCGTAAATTTTGTGTAAATCTTGCATTCTTTGGCCTATTTTGTGCAAAACTTGCATTCTTTAGTCAATTTTGTGCAAAATTTGCATTCTTTTGTAAATTGAATGTAAAACTTGCATTCTTTAGTCAAATTTTTACAAAAAATTGCATCCTTTAGTAAATTCTGTGCAAAATTTGCATTCTTAAGTAAATTTTGTGCAAATTTAGCTTTTTTACAAAATTGTCTAAAAATTGGCCTTTTTCCAATTTGTCCGAAACATTTTGTTTTGTGTAAAAACTTGTAAAATTTGTCGATCATTTGATCTTGTTACCAAGGATCTAAATCTCCCTCTATGCCGTTTAATCCCTGCTGCAGGGATTTTATTTTCTGCCAGCAAAAAGATGAGTCTGATGAATATTTAAAATATCTTTTTCTTGGGATTTTATTTGTTGCAATACAAAAAAAAAACACACACCATTATAAATAGTGTTGAGGATGATAATGAGCAGTTTGATGATAATGATGAGGATGGTGACGACGACGGCAACAATGATGGCAATGGGATGACAACAATTGTCGCATGCAATTTTTTTTTTATTTTGTTAAATTGTTGTTGTTTTAGTATATAAAACATTAAATCTTGAAATGTCGTCGTGCTTTACAAAACTAGACAACAAATACTTTGTAAATAAACGCGAAAGAAAAAAGTTGATGAAATAAGAAGAAAACAAAAAAACTATTAAAAACGTTATGCGACATGCGGTGTGGCATCATGATCAGCATCAACAGCATCATCTTAAAGCTAGCAGCTACAGGGCAAACAGGCCTGGCAGCCACTAAGTTAATATTTATTACCACGAGTATGCGAAAACAATCTAAAGCAACGACTCTACTTCTACAGCAAATTTCCCCCCTCGCAAAATATGTTATGTTCTCAATATATATACAACTCATGCTTTTTTTTAAGAACAGCAAAAAAAAAAATATGCGCAAAAAAAAAACTCATACACTACTTAACGTTAATACTTTACTTGCAACTAGTGCAACAATATTTTGTTTTGTTTTGCTACTTTAAACAGCCGATCACTTGACTGATCACTAGTTTGTTTTGTTTTTTTTTTTCTGCAAAAAACTACAGATCGTGCAATTGTTCTTTTTCTTGTATTTTGTAAGATTTGCTTTGGAAATAAATAAGAAATTTGTTTTTTTTTTTTTGTTGTTTTTGTTTGTGTTTTATATAGTGGGTTATATTGATTGGTGTTGCACATACGACTTTAACCAGAGATTTATTTAGAGGAGCTATAGAGTTTTACATAAGTTTGTTGCGATGTATGTGTACATGTGTCTATGTTTCCACTCACTGCCTGTTTTGCACAAAAAAAAAAAATCTTAAGGCCTTTGCCAATGACATATGGATGCTCGAGTTCTCAAGGTATTATTGTATTTTGAATTATTTTTATAACAATTTTTGTTCCTCTCTCTCCCTCTCTACGCTAAACTTTACTATGATTTAATAGATTTTGTAAATGGCCATTGTTTTCGCCTTTGTCAGTCATGGGGTGTTTTTTAAAATCTTATATATGAGTTTATAGCTAACAAATCTATCATCTCTGCAGAAATTATTACACTAGGGACTCGTTCGAGAATTCATTCAATGTTTTAATAAAAGTGTTGCCAATCACTGGTCCATATATTAAAGTTAGTAGAAACAAAACAGCTTGTTTCGAGCTTAACATGTCAACGGAAGATGGCAATTATTTCGATTTTTTTCACATTTCATATTATTGTTATCATATGGCTAATAAAATGTGTGTGAAAATGTTTAATTTTAACATTTAACTTAAACTTAGCAACTAATAACATTTTAAAATATATCTAAAATTTAAATTTGTAAAAAATCAACAAATGTTTGGTTATTAATAAATATGTGTATTGTACTTTTAATAACTGTTATTTAAATGTTGCTATATGCATGTTATTAATATTTACTACAAATTAATATTAATCATACGCCTAGTTGAACTCAATAATTATAATGGTTTTAAACGTAAGATAAAAAGGGAAAACTGTAATAAATTTATATTACATAATTATAATAATTTATTAATTAAAGGACATTAAAGGAAGTATATTAATGTATTATTATAAATTATTATGGCTAGACAAATAAAATTTTAGTTAGGGGGAAGTACACTCAAAAAAATAATCAAGCCATCCGGGCTTGAATCAATCCATATCGGTCTCAATAGTACGGTAATCCCGGTTTGGCTTAAATCAAGTGCAAAATGATTGAATCAATCTAGAATCAGCCAATCACGAAAGTGCTGATTTTAGCGCGATTTAAACCTTTTTAGGATCAAAGTGATCTCAAAACATATTTGATTTAAAACAGTTTTTCCTTGATTTAATCTCGAATCCATACTAAAATGAGATCGAAATGATCCAAAATATGATTGTTTCAAGCATTTTAAACTTGATTTAATCCCAAAATCGCGCTTTATTTAATCCTTAAATTGATCGATTTGATCATTTGATATCTCAATATACCCAAAAAGCGCTTGATTTTATCCTAAAATCGCGCTTGATTTAATCCTAAAATTTATTGATTTGATCATTTAAAATGTCAAATTTACCCAAATAGCGCTGGATTTAATCCTGAAATCGTGCTTGATTTAATCCTAAAATTGATTGATTTGATCTTTTAAAATGTCAAATTTACCCAAATAGCGCTGGATTTAATCCTGAAATCGTGCTTGATTTAATCCTAAAATTGATTGATTTGATCTTTTAAAATGTCAAATTTACCCAAATAGCGCTGGATTTAATCCCAAAATAGCGCTTGATTTAATCCTAAAATTGATTGATTTGATCATTTAAAATGTCAAATTTACCCAAATAGCGCTTGATTTAATCCCAAACTAAAATAAGTTTTTTATATTTTATTTTATATTTATTAATATTTATTTATACAAAAGAATCATTAATTTTTTAATTAACAAAAAAGTTAATATATTAATATTTAATTCATTCAATATAATATACATTTAACAAAAATATCATAAATTTTTTTATTTTTTATTATTTACTGTTTTGTGTTCATCTTTCTAAATACGGGCCTTAATTAAAAGGAATTTTTTATGAATAAATATTGTTGAAAAATAAATTAGTAAACATACAAAAGAAATTGTTTCTTTAAAAGTTAAATCAAAAATATAAGTAAATCATAATTAAAAAATAAAAAAAAAAAAATTACCAAATCGGAAGCTTTCGCATGGCATAGTAATTCCCGGCGACGTATTTTATATGTTCTTTTCCATTTCTCACAAACATCTGCCCAATCTGATGAATCTCTATTTAAAGATGTTTTAAAAGCTGTAGCAACAGATTCATCTATCTCTTCATCTATATCTAAATGCTCTGATGTGTTTTCTGCTTCGTCTTGACTGGACACAGAGGAATCAAATATTCCACGTTTACGGCGACAGTTTTTATCATATACCGGCGGATAGAGAGGCAGATAAAAAAATCACCACTACACACACACCATTGGCATTTTTTCAATGAAATTGCACTGAAAAAAATATTTGGTTATTTTTAATTTTGAAGATTAAATTGCATTACTGTAAAATGCGAATATTTATAAACAAAATGTAATCAATGTACTTAAGAAAGATAATTTCTTCACATAGAAACAACATTTCTAATTAAAATGTACAAAAAAAGTATGAAACAAGATGAACTTATTTACTTTCATTGTTATGCATTCTAGAAAATTATTTAGGGTGTACGTTGTTTTTGTAAATTATGCTCTTGCTTTTGCAATTTGTTTTTGTTTTTTCAAGTTGTGTTTGCAATTTCTTTAACAAAGCGACATCAACCTGCTTTGTTGAATGCTGTCAAGCAACTAAATAAAATATTTGTATTTTTGATGCTCTTGTTTAGAGGTTCGTATGCGATCGTGTTGTGTACATGTAATTTGCCGAAAATCTTCGTTGTCAGAACAATACTAGCGCCGACGTCTGGTTTTTATACTTAAAGTATAACTTTTCACTTGGACTGCCTTTACAGCCTCTTGAAATAAAATAATAACCCTTAAAATTTAAAGAAAAAATTTAATTATAACAATGTTTTCTCAAGTTGATAAATTATTTTAGTCACCTGAACTTCTTTTTCTGATGGAAATATCGAGACTATTTCATTTACCAATAACGGAAAATCTGGAACTCTTATTATAATCTAGCTGCACATAACTTCTTCAACTATTATTTTTATAAGGAAATCCCTTTGATCGATAGTTAGCTTTTTCGTTCTGTATTCTAATATCGCCCTTCCGCCTGCCGTTTCTTTTAAAATATCTATCAAACACTTAACGATAATAAACACGGTTAAGGATAATAATTATGATAGAATAAAATATGTTATACCTTATTTAAAACCCTTTTGCCACTGAAACCTTCATCAGACATCCAATTGTCGACCTTCGAATCGACTGAAATCGTTTCGTCATCAATTTCGAACTGTAAAATTGGATTATATAAAATGATACGATCAAGTATATAACACATTTTTTTATGATTTACCTGCTGTTTTTTCCATTTAAAGAGCTTCTCCCGAAATTCAATTCGGAGGCCAAGAGGTGGTATGGCTTCTTTTATTTCTTCTTTTTGAATATATTGCAAGCTTTTGTACGTTACCTTAGCAGCTGTAGAAATAAATAAAACATTATTAATAAAAGCATTATAGAAACATTTTTAATCAATTAAAAAAAATGTTTTTAAAAATTTTTAACATATTTATATTTTATTTTATTGAAATTTTTATATTTACTATTTGTTTTCAATATATTGATTTTTTTAAATTTATTTATTAAAAATTTTAAATTAATTTATATCTTCATAAAATTAAAAAAATTTGATAATGTTTTCAATAAATTTCCACATGTTATAAAAATTTAGTTATTTTAATTTATATAATTATTTTCTGCATTTTTTATTTATTGTATTTTTTTGTTCACATACTGAAAATTTAAAAAAAATCAATCTCTGATGGATATTTTAAAACAGGGAGTATAACTTCAGAAAATAAAAAAAAATTAATTGAACACAAATAAAAAATAATTTATTTAACTGTTTGTTTGACAATATCGAAACAACATTTTCTTTCTTATAAATATATTGAAAACAAACACAAAATTTAAAATTTTCTACTTGTTTTCAATAAATTTGTAAGAAAGATAATGTTCTTTCTGCAGATAAATGTTATTATATCTTCAATAGGAAATTTTTCAATAATTTTTTTTTTTTTTTTGATTTTCAGTAAATTTAGATTTTCATTATTTTTTTTTTTATTCTCACTATTTTTTTAATTTTCACTCACATATTTTTAAAATTAAGTTTTTTAATTATAATTAACTTCTTTATGACCACTTGTTTTGAATGAAATTATTTTTTAAAATATTTTTAAACAATTCATTTAGTTATTTAATATACATTCTCTAACTTAAAATTTTTGCAACCACTCTTCGCAAATTATACAACAGAAATGAAAACTAAACTACGCATTTCACAAAGGAATTTTACAATGTCTTGCTATTTTCTTACAATCTCATTTTTTGTTCTCGTTTGATGTGCATAACAACAAGAACTTGTTTTTTTACTGCAAATATTGCATCATAAAAAAACACATTCAAACGAGGAGAGCAAGATCAGAAAAACCACCACCAAACACGCAATAGAAAAAAGAAGAGAATAAACAAGAGAGTTTTACTTCTTTTTTTATTACTTGATTTTCTTAAAGATTTTTTTGTCAATGTTTACAAGCGTGTTGTTGTAGTTTTCTTCAATTGCCTAAACACCAAAAGCCGTTACTAATATTAACTTATGGAAAAAAAAAAAAAAACAACAACAATACAACAACTTACTTATGTTTCAACAAAATAGAACATGCTGAATGTTACCAAGCAAGGAATTTATGGTGGCATTTCTGTGCAGGTTGTTGTTTTTTTTTTTTGCATAAGTTAAAATTAGTAGGGAATTTTTGGTGTATGCATATTAGAGTGGCCCAAAAACAAAACTTTCTGATATTCCCAATAAGCCTATAAGTTAATACAAATTTAGTATCACATGAAAGGTCTTTTAAAGGCGCTTTTAATGCATTTTTTTAATTATAATTTCGAATGTTCTTGGACTTATTATACCTATATGTCATTAAAAGCGATTTTAAAGTCTTTTAAAATGATAACAAATTTGGCACAAGAACAAATAGATTAAAAAACATGTTCTTATATTTAACTAAATTTTTTGGTAACATTAACTACTTTTTTGGGTTCCCTAATGTATATGTACAGTTACACAAAGTTACGCCAAAATAAATTGTTGCAAGTTTATGGGCTTATGTTAGGTGGATACTTTATTCTAACGTTTCTTTTATAGGTATTTATCATTAAAATCTAAAAAATACTCAAAAAGTGAATATTTTTATACAAAATGTTAAATTAAAATTTCCATCCGGAAACAAAATTAGACCCCAAACATGCTTCACTCAAAATGAATTCTATAAAAATTTACTTACCTTTTAGGTATTGATATGCCTCCTCTAAATTAAAGCTTTTCAGAAGCACTTGTAAAAGGGAATCGTCATCGTTTTGATCATCCATAATTAATTAATTAATTAACACAAAACAACAAATTGTATGCAACACTACAAATTCTTTAAAACACAACAATGAAACACAACAATGAACTCAACGAACGCACAAAATAGACTGATACATTTCATCCCTTTAAAATAACTAGTAACTTGATTTCAATGTAAAACAGCATAAAAAGATTATTAGAGCGCATGAGAGAGTAAGTTTTATTTCTCTTATTTTCTCTCAGGGATTGATTTAACCCTTTTTTGGTTAATTCAATCAAAATACTGATCAATTTTTAATTAATCCTTTTTTGGAATCAAAATTACATTTTTTGAAATAAATTTGAGCGTTTTAGTGTTGATTTTAGTAATAAAAGGCAAAATTTTTTAAATCAATCCAGATTTTGGATTATTTTAAGCCAACGGCAACAAAAATGGAGTTCAATTTTCAAGCTCGTTTTGTGGCTAAAATTGAGAATAGAAAAGTTGATTTTACTTCGGCGTTTTTCTTTCTGTGTATAATATTGAAACATAATGGAATATTTTGAAAATTTTGAAAAAAGCAGAGGTAGAGAATTTTGTAGAGTGAGGGGAGTTTTCGAAGACAGGGGGAATTTAGCAAAAGTCGTAATTTAACTAACTAACTAACTACTACTAACTAACTACTAACTACTAACTAACTAACTAACTAACTAACTAACT